AAAATTTGGGGGCATTGGGAAGGGCATAGCTTTATAGTTCACCATAGCTTTGTTATTATCCCATCAAAAGTGATACTGGATTCCTAAATATCTCTCTCGTGCGCGCGTGCGCTCGCTCTCTCTCTCTCTCTCTCTCTCTCTCTCTCTCTCTCTCTCTCTCCCTCTCTCTCTCCTCTCTCTCTCTCTCTCTCTCTCTCTCTCTCTCTCTCTCTCTCTCGACTTAAAGAAGACAAGGGGTTTGGTGGAACCCTTTGCTCCTGATTGAAACACCCTTCTCGACTTAAAGAAGACAAGTGGTTTGGTGGAACCTTTTGCTCCTGATGGTTTTGAAACACCCAGCTCAACTCCAAAGCAATCTTGAGGTTGATTCAACCCTGTTAGGACATGTTGTCTCCCAGAATAAAACAAAAGCTCCACAGGGAATTGAGAAGCCAGGGACTGGAAGTCTATACTAGGTGCAGAGACAAAGGCTAAACTGGGCGTGAATAAATATCCTCATTACGTGGGTTGCTGCCCCATGGATTAAACCTGGGCCTTTCTGCCCTCCCTCTCCATTAACCAGAGCTCATCTAGCATTGCCAGGTGCTGGGATTAGGCAGGTGAGGCAGCAAATGGAAAATAGCACTCTTGCTCCGAGAGCAATTACACATTGAGGAAGCACTTTTTCCAAGATTCACATGGATATGCTGCTAAGTATTTATAATTTAATTGGCAGGAACGGAGAGTCTGCCATCTCAACTCAACAGTGCTGCATTATGACTTCCTCTGTGAATGGCACAGAGATTCCATGCAGTTGGTTGGGGAGTCATGGATTTACCTTGGCGACCTGGGGATTTCTATCCTGTAAATGGATCAGGAGGGAATCTTGAGTCTGCTTAACCTGACTGGTGAAAAACTTCTTCCATTTTCGCCCAGCAAAGGCAGCCAATTGCCCGAACAAAACAAAGGCCGAGTATCTCAGGCTGTCGCTCTCCTGTGGACCCCCCATGAACAAAACAACACATTGCAGGTCATCACCAAAAAGCTCTTGCATCCTAGAAGACCACAGCCATCTCCCTTGTTTGCATGCTACAGGGTGGGCCATCAGATCCAGTCTAAAGCACTTAGCTGGCTGGGGTGGGGGACAGAGTGGGGATGGGCTGAGTCTTCAGGGAACCTCTGCATCGCAGAAGAGAAGGATTAGACGTGGGGTCATTAGTGCTGCTCCCAGCTTCCCAGCTTTCTTCTTCATTAGTTAATGTTTTGGAAATAGAATACATTTATATGGTTCAAAATTCAAAATACCCAAAAGCATTTATTTAAAAAATGTCAGTCTCTTCCTACCACTCTCCACCTGACAGCAAATTTCCCTCCCCACAAGCTAACAAAGCAAATATAATTTTGTTATAAATTTGTCATATAAACACAAATACCTAAATTTTGTATGTATCCCTCTAGAAAATTAAGAAGGAAAAAAATACGTATCACATAGTCCTTTCTCACATTTTCACACAAATGCAAGCATGGCATGCCACAGTTCTGCATGCACCTTAATTTTTCCATTAAACAATATATCCGGGAGCTCTGTCTATGTCAACATATAAAGGAATTTTTTTCTTTTTTTTTTTGGCTGCATCATAACTCATTTGACACGTTCCCTGTTTATTACTCCCAGCATTTTTGCCTGGTCATCTCTCTTTACCTTTGGTCTCAGTTTCTTCCATCTGTAGTAGAAATAACAGTTATGTTTCTTCCCTGACACCTTGCCAGCTCTCCCTGCTTTTAGTTTGACTGGCTCGTTTGTCCCTGAGTGCATGTCTGTGGGTTTAGTCCTTTCTTCCTCTCTAAGGTGAGTGTTGGTCCAAGTATTTCCCTTCCCAGGTGAGGAGACCGACGCCCAGGGCCTTTCTCTGACTTGCCATCATATCATTAGGTAACAGAAAACCAGGGCAGTAACCCCACATCCTGACTCCTGGTTCAGGCAGGGACTTGTATCAGTGTTTCCTGGTCCTGTCCCGCTCCCGGTGAACCAGAGGAGACAGGGCCGAAGTGGATCTCCTTGGAGGCAAGGGGCATCTAGAATTGGGGGTCATAGAGACTTGGCAAGACTGTAGACTAATGGTCATTTATTTGATAAAATATTTTAAAATATTGTTTTAGTACAAGTGACACATACAAAAATTGCTTTAGTGTTTCATTTTCTTCTCTGTTCCGTGTGTGTGTGTGTGTGTGTGTGTGTGTGTGTGTGTGTGTCTGCAGCAGGCTAACTGGTTAGCTTGAAAGGAAGGTATCTTGAAGTCCTCACAGTTTCAGACCAAACGATGCATTAGTACATTTTTTTTTACTTAGCCTGTCTGGTCACCTGGCAGTTGAGAATGCAGGTCCTATAGTCAGAGAGCCTGGTTTCATATTCACTTATTGGCTCTGTGAACCTTGGGCAAGTTACCTAACCTGCCTATGCCTTGGTTTCCTCATCTATAAAGTGAAAACAATAATAGTGCCAACCTCATAGGGTTATTGAAGACCGTATGAGATAATCCTGAGCTCACCACTGTTATTGTTACATTTATAAGAGAGCATTGAATACATACTGGTATTGTTGTCATCTCATCAGTGTTACATATATTCACTTCTCTATTACAATGAAAACTCGAGGAGTAATTTTGGAATCCTAATCTTCTTTATATCTTCCATAGCCCTCAGCACAGTACTGAGTCTTTCGGTAAGATTTGTGAGGGCCGGTGTCTGGAGAACTGGGGAAGAAAATTGAGTTTCTGATTCTCAGAATGACATTACGATCTTTCCGTAGCATTTATAACCCTCTCATGTTTTCCATTTTCAAAATAGATATAGGTGGTCGAGGATATGACCTGAATGCCAAGTTCACTGGTAATATCAGAATTTCTATAAGAGAAGCTCTAGAGGCAATCTTGTTGGAGGAAAGGTGGAAAGGACTAAGAGATTTTTCTTGAAACCTTTTGTAAGTGTGCTGTGACCCCTCATGCAAGTAAGATTGATCACCAAAAAATGGACGTAATAGCCAATAGATGATTAATAAAAATATGTACTTAGCTCATAAATGAAATTAATAAAAATGTGTAGTTAGTACATAAAAAAGCAAAAGTAAACTGAGTTAAATAAAAGATCAGAAGCTGAGGAGTTTTTTTATTTTAATTTTTTTCTTACATTTCTAACCATCCATCAATTATTCCATAACAAGGTAGTACGGTATGTTGGTTGAATGCAGGCTCCAGAAGTCAGACCACTTGGACTTGAATTATGGCTCCATTATTTACTGGGGCATCTTGAGC